AACAATGTAACAAGATAATTTGCTAATTCAAAGAGAGCAACATAGGCAGGTTATGGCTTTGCAGAGATAAATCTCAAGGCTTTTGTTGCTCTGTCCACTATAATTTGAGACTATATTGAAAAAAATAACTGGAAAAGAATTGAGATATGAATAACATCCAGAGATTCCCAATCACTTGCAAAATCACAGTTCTTTGGACTTTCAGCTCTTTTTCCCCATTCTGAAGAGAACAACACTGATCTGGAAAGCTGTAGAACGGGGAAGTTACCAGCCATCATAAAAATCTGCAAAACAACTTGCTAACTAAAATACAATTTTAAATTTGCAAATTTTCATGGCTGGGCTTACTGTTGCTTAAATACATGTGAACAGAAAAAAATGCAATTGCCTCGAATATTTTCCCAAGCTCATAGGAAAATTTTAGTAAAAGTTTTAAACTGATTTCAACTTAGTAATGTAGAAACTAAGTTAACATTTTTTTTAAATATAAAGATGTCCAGAAAAAATAATTTGGAACTCAAAAATCTGGGGAAGTGCTTAGTACCCTAAAAATTCAAGTCTGTTTCTTCCTTTTCTAGAAAGAGCGTCCTTGAGATGTATATACACGTGTATACATATGCTTATTAGCACAAATTACCGGTACAAAACCATGCTTTCCATTGTGACATTTGACATTTTCATACACGCAAGTAACATACTTTTTTCTTAGGTTCTTGAAGCATGTATTTGTACCGATGACATTTTTCATCAGCAGCATCTTCAGGTAGACCTGGTAATTGTTGTAGATTTCTAAGATTCCACCAAGTTTTGAGTCAGTAATACGAGCTTGATTTGAACTCCCGATCTAATTACATGTCACTACACTTCTTCTAAAACGAAAAACCCTGCATGCACCACTTCACAGATGTGAAGCGAGCCCTCAATAATTGCTTTTCACTTTAATTATCAAGGATTGGGTTCGATCAAGTTTGGGAAGGTACTTTGGAGTAGATGTAATCGATAAACAAAAAAAAAAAAAACAGCATTCTACAAAAATGCGATGCCCGGATTGATCTGAAGCCCAAGTAAAACTGTCCAGAAGCAATCAGAAGTGCCCCCACACCCCACCTTTAGGGTAAGACGCGAATGAGGGGGTGGGGGGAATAGAAGAACAAAATGTTGTCACAGTCAAGAGTATTTTCAAGTGCCCACGTAGTAGAACTCTGGCTTTTCCTGAATCTTAAGAACAAAAGAAGCACTGATGAGCAGATGCAGGGGTGGGTAGGAGGGGGGTCTCCTGAAATGGGAAGGGGGTGATAATCTGGCTTCCTGCACTCCCCAAGTCAATCAAACCGGGGAAAGTGAGCGCCCGAAGCGTGTCCCGATCCCCGGTGAACAGGGCGGAGGCCGGGCGGCGCCCACGTTACCCGAGCCCGGTGTCCAGGGAGGGAGCAAGGCCCAGCCTGGGATGCGCAGACGAGGAGGGACCCCCAGCCCCACCCCCGTCTCGGGTGGAACGCATCACTACAGGGGAAAGGAGACGACGCACGAGAGCGGCCGGACCTGCCTCTTCTCAGCGTCGCCCGGGAAGGGTGGAGAAGACGGACACAACCCCGGAGCCCGACACCCAGGCTCCCGCCAGAGCGGCTTTGAAACTGCGTGTTCTATCACCTTTGGCTTGGGCGCCACGGCTAATGGACCCCGCGCGAGCCGACCCGCCAATCACAGGCGCGCTTCCTGCCCCCGTCAGCCAATGGCGGCGCGCGTTGTTGGAGCGCGGGCGCCGCGGCGCTGCCCGAGCCCGTGTGTATGTGTGTATGTGTGTGTATGTGTGTGCGTGCGCGCGTGTGGGCCAGGCTCGCCGCGGGCTCCCGGGTTGCGGCTGCACTTGCTCCGTAGTTGTGCGGCGGCGGGCTTTTGTGCCGGAACCCCGGCCTCGGCTTTTGTGTGTAACGGACTTTTCCGCTCGGCTTCACCGCCAACTCCTCCTGGGCGGACGCCCGGACGCGACGGTGCAGCCCCGGGCCGGGAGCGAGCCGGAGGAAGCGAGCGGGCGGGCGGGCGAGCGGGCGAGTGAGCGCGGCGGCGGCGGCGGCGGCGGCACGGGCCGGGGAGCCGCGCAGACGCGGAGATGCCCGAATTCCTGGAAGACCCGTCGGTCCTGACGAAGGACAAGTTGAAGAGTGAGTTGGTCGCCAACAACGTGACGCTGCCGGCCGGGGAGCAGCGCAAAGACGTGTACGTGCAGCTCTACCTGCAGCACCTCACGACGCGCAACCGGCCGCCGCCGCTGTCCGCCGGCGGCGCCAACAGCAAGGGGCCGCCCGACTTCTCCAGCGACGAGGAGCGCGAGCCCACCCCGGTCCTCGGCG